TATCCCGACGATCAATGCTTGCATCAACAACGAGACGCCATCGGTAAATAAAAACTGAATTCAACTTTTGTTTCAAAATATATTATTTAAGTGTCCACTGCAACTATTACCTTACGCTGCTATAATATCATTGCAACTATCAACTAAGTGCCACTATCAAATTTGTGCAACTATCAAAATTAGGAAACTATCAACTGAAATCAAGTTTGTGCAACTGTCAAATTAGGACTACTATCAAATTAGTGCAACTAGCAAATTGGGACTACTATCAAATTAGTGCAACTAGCAAATTGGGACTACTATCAAATTAGTGCAACTAGCAAATTGGGACTACTATCAAATTAGTGCAACTATCAAATTAGTGCAACTATCAAATTAGGACTATCAACTTTGTGCAACTATCAAATTAGGGCTATCAAATTTGTGCATCTATCAAAATTAAGACTACTATAAAATTAGTGCAACTATCAAATTAGGACTACTATCAAATTAGTGTAACTAGCAAATTAGGACTACTATCAAATTAGTGCAACTAGCAAATTAATGCAACTATCAAATTAGGACTATCAAATTTGTGCAACTATCAAATTAGGACTACTATCAAATTAGTGCAACTATCAAATTAGGGCTATTATCAAATTAGTGCAACTAGCAAATTAGTGCAACTAGCAAATTAGGACTATCAAATTTGTGGAACTGTCAAATTAGTACTATCAAATGAGGACTACTCTCAAATTAGTACAACTATCAAATTAAGACTACTATCAAATTAGTGCAACTAGCAAATTAATGCAACTATCAAATTAGGACTATCAAATTTGTGCAACTATCAAATTAGGACTACTATCAAATTAGTGCAACTATCAAATTTGGACTACTATCAAATTAGTGCAACTATCACATTAGGACTACTATCAAATTAGGACAACTATCAAAGTAGGACTATCAAATTAGTGCAACTATCAATTAGCTGCAACTCCTAGCTGAGAGTGGCCATCAGATTAATGCAACTTTGTACAAGATGCAACTGTTAACCTTGTGCAAGTATCAAAATAGTGCAACTGGTATATTATTGCAACTATCTATGTCACCTTACTGGTAGCCTGCAGTGTCAGTGCACACCTGATGCACATCAGTACAAACCGAATTGTAAAAAGAATATGAACTTATCTTACCTCATTCACTCCACTCTTTCAACACAAACTTTTACACCTGTTAACTGATATCAACTCTCATAAAGTCTAGAGTGACAGCTTAAGTTTATCAAGGAAATTATCGGCTTGTAAAACATCTCTGCTACTACAAGCCAGACTCCAACTGAAGGGTCTAATCTTAAGACAATTATAAAATGATTATAAAAATGAAAGGTATGTTTATCGCATTATCTAAAAAACACAATTACACAAATCTTCACCGGTATATCTGAAATAGATTCGACTATTAAAGGGTCCAGCAAACTGTGTCAGAAGGGACATCACTAATGGCAGATGAAATTCCTGTCTATGTCTTTTATGACATTGTCATTGTCTCCAATTCAGGGCTTTCTGACCAAATTGCAGTGCTATGTAACGTGTACTTAGCTAATACAAAGCTTGTAAAACTAATACTCAAAATATACACCATCCTCATCAAATAATTAGGGACTGTTTGTGATTGTTAGATGTTTAAAACTACATTCAGCAATATTCCAGCTAAATACCAAAGGCCAGTCAATAATAGAATCTGGACCGGAAAGCTAGTGACCGATATCATGAGCATCATTTCCACCATATTGGACATGATGACCTACAAGCCACCAGACAACCCAATCCTTTAAGTTGCCACATCAACTCACATATCAAGATAGAACTGTTCGCTCACTCCTTCCCTCTGTCTAGTTCACTGCCTCCTCACATAACCAATAAGCCTTTTTTAAAATGGCCCTTCTCTGAGCCCCTATCTCCCCAATGTCCCTAGAGTCCATATTACTATCCTACAATCGTCAGCGGCTGAAAGGATGGTGTAAATCCAACTAGGGTCCATGCAGGTAGCAATGGCACTGTAAGTCCCCATGGTCCCTAGTATGGTGATCTACCTTCAGTTGTTGGCGATCTATAGCCCAATTTTACATTGTATTGTCCAGAAATAGTTTTCTACTTTTAAAGATATATGCTAGCTAGTTTTAACTCAACCTGTGATAAGCCAGTGGTTTTACTGCCCTTTGTTGATAGGGTTTGATATATTTATATATTATTTCCCTAAAACTAATGTTATACAATTATAGTTAAGCTTCTTGGGTACACCAGGGCGGTGGTGTAGCCTTGTGGATATAGCGTTTGCTCGTCACACTGAAAGACTCGAGTTCAATTCCCCACATGGGTGTAATGTGTGAAGCCCATTTCTCATGTCCCCCGCAGCGTAAAACTAAATGCATTCACTTGAGTACCGTCGTGTCTGAACTACACATGATCTGTTGCTGATGCTTAGAGATTCTCATTACCATAATTGTTGTGTATAATGTACACACTCTTTAATAACAAACACAACTCACCTGTGTAGAGATTAGGGGTGGGTATCGCAGCTATTGTATATGAAATATGGTATTGCGATATGAAAGCATATATTGCGATATGTATTGCAATATATTGCAAGAAGTATTTTTAAACATAAAAATACATATAATCGAGTTAATGCTTGATATATAAAGCAAAAACACAACAAAATCACTATGCTTCATTAAGTTTTAATAAAAACTTTTAATCATGACAAAATATAAATGTAAATAACATTCGGCATCAACGAAACAAGGAAATATCCGAAGATTTCCAAGTGTTACAAAGTTTTCCGAATGCAAGTCAAAATACCGGTTTTCGATCAGCGTATCGCAATACGTATTGTTGTCATATCTATTGTTGCGCAGCCCTAGTAGAGAGGGTGGTGCATTATAAACACCATATTGAATTTTGATGTTTGCATCCCGAAGCAAAGTCATTACACCAGAAACACCAGAAATACCATGCCAACAAAACTTTAATTAAATTTGAAATTTAATCACGTAATTTCACTGGTTGGTTATAAAAAGAGCTCATTGTATACCTGGACTTATAGTTTTAATCATTTCTATAAATGTTATTCAAATTTTTATTCACTATTTCTTACATTCAGCTAAATCATGTGTGAATAACTCACCATTGTTTACAGTAACCAGAGTTATATTACCGCTACTGAACTTCTGTTGATAGAAAAAGACTGTATTTATCATAATCGCCATGCTTTGACTCATTAAAAGTTTCATTTGTCGCAGATGACTTAATGTCAACAAAATTTTGATGGTTATGAGCCAAATGTTTATGACAAACATTTTTTTATCATTGCAAACTTGTTATTGATTTTTTTGGTATGTTTCAGCTAAATCTCTGTCATATAGGGAGGAAAAATGTGCACAGCTGATCGCTATTTCCAGCTTAGTTTACGAGACAATACAATCTTAATCTCTGTATCGAAAACAAAACCTAGCAGAACAGGAGATTTAATTAATCAAAATTGTAAAACATTGTGTCTGCAGACATATCATCTCAAATTTCAAAATTTTATTGACAAAGTTTGTTAGTACATGTTCATTGATACATGAAGAGATACAATGTATTTTTTTATCCAAAATACTGAATCCAACCAAGGTGGTGCATCATGGGTGCACACTACACTCAAAACAATATGGCAATCATTTGATCCATTCAACATTTGCCTCCACTTTGTTGAAACCGCTGGGTAGTTCTGGTGTTGACAAAGAAACAATCAGGGTGGACCAGGATTCAAACTGTGAATGTTAGATTACTGGAGAACCAAAAGGGTTGCAGCACTGCAGACAAATTGTGTCACCTCAAACAATTGGACACCCATGCCCCCCAGCCCAATATGACAATATGTGGAAGTTTATAGCTTAACCATTTCAACACCAGTCAACCAAGATCCCAGAGACTCTAAGGTCATACATGAAGCCTATGAAGGAAAATATCAGCTTGTGAAACATTATTGCTACTACATCTCACACACCATTTGAAAGATCTAATCCTACTGTCCATGAAAGAAGTAAAAACTATGGCGATTTTTTTCCATTTGTGACATGTCATTATATCCCCGTGCCTTTTTCGTTTATATTTTCATTTTTACGTAATCAGAAAATTATTATAAAAAGATTTCTTAAATAATATGTATGGTCGCCTATTTCCCGATATCAGTGGCGTTCCGCTCGGTAACATGTCACAACAACGGAAAATACCTCCGTTTTCGAAGCTTCGTATGAATAACATGCGAGGCGAATCGTTTGATGGCGGTATTGTTCGAAAGCTCTCAACATCAACAATATCACTGTACCCTTGCCAAGAGTAGTATCACAGTAGTAAGAAGCAATTTTATTGGATAAAGATTGGTATCTAATGACGCTTTTTTGCCACAGTCTGCTATAAGGGTCGTGATTGGTCAAAATCAGACACGTGACCTAAGGCAGCCAATCATATTACAGCAAGGATACCGTCCTCGTAAACAAAAACTTTTAGATTTAGACGAAAGTTTAGGGTAAAATAATGCTATTCTGAACATATTAAGCAAGAAATCGCTACCTATATGTAAATTATGGAACTTTATGACCTGTGACAAAAATGCTTCATGCATATAATTTTGCATTAAACATTATGTCCGAGCGTGAAGATTGAGGTTGCGAAAGCCAAGATGTCACTTGTCAGTGACTTGACTTGCATTACATGATCGCACAAAAAGATGGAAATAGTAATTTTATATGTACGTTGGCCTAAAATGATGCCAGGTGTAGATTTTTACTTTATTTTGGTGACACACATTAGCATGAGTCATGTGCTCACAGATCTTTCACATTCAGGGAGATTCTGGGACTGAAACTCAATATCAGCATATCCTGGCACATCTAAGTTCCAAAACTCTGCACATCAAGTTTTAAGACAACAGGGCCACCAGTGACCCAGTGAAGGTAAGCAGGAGGTACTCACATGACATTGACCAGGGTGGGTTTGATGTAGCCGTCTACAGACGAACTTGGTTGCTCTGTAACACAAACAAAACATGTAGAGGCCAGGTTCTATACTCCCCAGGGAGTTGAGAATATACGGAATAACTGCATTCACCTATGACAAAGACTCTTGTGGTACATAAGTCATAACGATCATCATGATGTAATTATTCAACCACATAGTCATTATTTAACATCATCATCATCATCATCATGAATGAGATCTGCTATACAGAGCCAGATATTTCTATTTGAACACAACAGGTGCAGAAGAAGCATACAGAACCCAACCCAGCGTGTGATAGTGGAACACCAACCCAGCGTGTGATAGTGGAACGCCAACCCAGCGTGTGATAGTGGAACGCCAACCCAGCGTGTGATAGTGGAACACCAACCCAGCGTGTGATAGTGGAACGCCAACCCAGCATGTGATAGTGGAACACCAACCCAGCATGTGATAGTGGAACGCCAACCCAGCATGTGATAGTGGAACGCCAACCCACTGGGCTAACCCACTTTATCGTCAAACTATGTTCAACTGCTACAAAACTGTTCACTATCATTTAATGGTTATTCCAACAAGGACTGTGTTATATTTACCTGGATTTGACACATAGTACTTGGAGAATGCCTGATTCTTTGGTATGTCTGGATATAGGAAAGCCAGGTTGTTCAGGTCCTTGATTCTGTCGGCCAGACCTCGGATGGAGAAGTCTTTCGATGTAAAGGGAGCCAAGTTCCATACCTCTGATAAGAGAGAGTCATACATATTACACTTCCAGCATATGTCCAGGTAAGGTCAGTTTGTTCGAACATAAATACTTATAACGCCATACTACTGAAAATATGTATTGAACTTGAAGATGTCATGGTAGGCGAGAAACATCTTGTTCTTCGAACTCATTTCTTTTTCACTATGATACCATCTAGTTTAATACATAAAGATGTCATATTAGGGGATAAATAAGTTCAGAGAACTAGACTGTATTCCACCGCCTGATATCATCAATCAAGTGCCAGGTCTTGATCACAAAGGAAACGAAACAGAATACTATTTGACACAAACCAACTAATATGTTTCAAAGATTTCATTTGGAACACTCAGATCCCACTAACTTTCAAATGTAGTACTGCCGACATTGAAAAAAGTAGATCTGGCAGCCATGTCATACAGAAATGGGAGCGTGATATGGATATCGCCTAAGCTGGCTGTATTGTATGGCTATACGCTATCATAAGAATAAATGGGTTTCTAAGAACAACAAGTGTTTGCCACTGATATGACAATGTCCCCCGCCGCTAAAGAATGGAATATCTATATTTACTACTTTTAATTTTTTGGTCACTTACAAGTGAAACATTGAAAACATTGGGTGCAATGTTTTATGAGATAGCACGTTTAAATAAGTTTGAAAGCCGGTCAAAGTGTCAAGGTGACCTTGAAAATAAGGTCAAGGTTACCCAAATCGACTGGTGTCTGTGTAATGCCCTAATGTAGGCTGTTACCAAATTTGAAGACATTGGGTACAACAGTTCATGAGCTATCGCGTTAACAAGAGTTTGAAAAGTGTTCAAAGTGTTGTGGTGACCTTGAAAATAAGGTCAAGGTCACCCAAATCGACTGGTGTCTGTGTAATCCCCCAATGTAGGCTGTCACCAAATTTGAAGACATTGGGTACATCAGTTCATGAGATATCACGTTAACAACAGTTTGAAAAGTGTTCAAAGTGTTGTGGTGACCTTGAAAATAAGGTCAAGGTCACCCAAATCGACTGGTGTCTGTGCAATCCCCCAATGTAGTCTGTTACCAAATTTGAAGACATTGGGTACAACAGTTCATGAGATATCTCGTTAACAAGAGTTTGAAAAGTGTTCAAAGTGTTGTGGTGACCTTGAAAATAAGGTCAAGGTTACCCAAATCGACTGGTGTCTGTGTAATGCCCTAATGTAGGCTGTCACCAAATTTGAAGACATTGGGTACAACAGTTCATGAGCTATCGCGTTAACAAGAGTTTGAAAAGTGTTCAAAGTGTTGTGGTGACCTTGAAAATAAGGTCAAGGTCACCCAAATCGACTGGTGTCTGTGCAATCCCCCAATGTAGGCTGTTACCAAATTTGAAGACATTGGGTACAACAGTTCATGAGATATCAACAGTTCGTTAACAAGAGTTTGAAAAGTGGTCAAAGTGTTGTGGTGACCTTGAAAATAAGGTCAAGGTCACCCAAATCGACTGGTGTCTGTGTAATCCCCCAATGTAGGCTGTCACCAAATTTGAAGACATTGGGTACAACAGTTCATGAGATATCTCGTTAACAAGAGTTTGAAAAGTGGTCAAAGTGTTGTGGTGACCTTGGTCACCCAAATCGACTGGTGTCTGTGTAATCCCCCCAATGTAGGCTGTCACCAAAATTGAAGACATTGGGTACAACAGTTCATGAGATATCAATGCTAACAATGGTCAAAGTGTTGTGGTGACCTTGTAGGCAAGTCACCCAAATCGACTTGTCTGTGCAAGACTGTCACCAAATTTGAAGACATTGGGTACAACAGTTCATGAGATATCTCGTTAACAAGAGTTTGAAAAGTGGTCAGTGTTGTGGTGACCTTGAAAATTAGGTCAAGGTCACCCAAACCAACTGGTATCTGCGTAATCCCCCCATGTAGGCTGTCACCAAATTTGAAGACATTGGGTACAACAGTTCATGAGATATCGCATTAACAAGAATCGGGACGCATGACGCACGCATGGGTCGCCCAAAACCAACTGCTGAATACATAGTCACAACAAAGTCTTGCCATGTTGGGTGTTTTTATAAAACTGGAGATTCAACATGTGAGTTGGAAGTGTTGCAGACAGCTTTTTGTAATATTTAAAAAATGGCAATTTTAAAAATAAAAGGTTAAAAAAACAAAAACCTTTCTCAGAACTGGCAGTCAAAGACAATGTTCATCATTTTGGCCACAAGTGACAGAATTGCAGAGTCAGGAAAATCTGATTTCAGGTGTCAGACACTGTGAGCGGCACATCTACAAGAAAGATGAGCAACAAAGGCTTGCACATAGTTGACGCAGTGGTGGAGCAACAAACTTACCAAGCTTGCCATTGTCAGCTACCCAGGCAATGGTGATGCCACCCATTTCAGAATCGCTGTATCGCAGGAGGAATGTTCCATTGGGCTTGGTGAGGAGCCATTCCTGGGCCTCAAACTTGCTGATGAAGCCGATGATTGATCTGGAAGCAACAAAACAAGACACAGATCATTCTCACATGATAGTCTCTCCTGCACTCTCATGTTGTACACACACATTGTGCTCTCTCCAGTACTCTCACATTGTACACACACATTGTACTCTCTCCTGCACTCTCATGTTGTATACATACATTGTACTCTCTCCTGCACTCTCATGTTGTACACACACATTGTGCACTCTCCTGCACTCTCATGTTGTACACACACATTGTACTCTCTCCTGCACTCTCATGTTGTACACATACACACATGTTGTACTCTCCTGTGCACTCTCATGTTGTACACACATTGTACTCTCCTGCACATTGTGCTCTCTCCTGCACTCTCATGTTGTATACATACATTGTGCTCTCTCCTGTACTCTCATGTTGTACACACACATTGTGCTCTCTCCTGCACTCTCATGTTGTACACACACATTGTGCTCTCTCCTGCACTCTCATGTTGTACACACACATTGTACTCTCCTGCACTCTCATGTTGCACACACATGTTGTACTCTCTCATTGTACTCTCTCTGTTGTATGTTGTATACATTGTGCTCTCTCCTGCACTCTCATGTTGTACACACACATTGTACTCTCTCCTGCACTCTCATGTTGTACACACACATTGTACTCTCTCCTGCACTCTCATGTTGTACACACACATTGTACTCTCTCCTGCACTCTCATGTTGTATACATACATTATACTCTCTCCTGCACTCTCATGTTGTACACACACATTGTGCTCTCTCCTGCACTCTCATGTTGTACACACACATTGTACTCTCTCCTGCACTCTCATGTTGTACACACACATTGTACTCTCTCCTGCACTCTCATGTTGTACACACACATTGTACTCTCTCCTGCACTCTCATGTTGTACACACACATTGTGCTCTCTCCAGTACTCTCACATTGTACACACACATTGTACTCTCTCCTGCACTCTCATGTTGTACACACACATTGTACTCTCTCCTGCACTCTCATGTTGTACACACACATTGTACTTCTCCCTGCACTCTCATGTTGTACACACACATTGTACTCTCTCCTGCACTCTCATGTTGTACACACACATTGTGCTCTCTCCTGCACTCTCATGTTGTACACACACATTGTACTCTCTCCTGCACTCCACATCATTGTGCTTCTCTCCTGCACTCTGTTGTACACACACATTGTGCTCTCCTGCACTCTCATGTTGTACACACACATTGTACTCTCTGCTGCACTCTGTACTTGACACATTGTGCTCTCCTGCACTCTCATGTTGTACACACACATTGTACTCTCTCCTGCACTCTTCATGTTGTACACACACATTGTGCTCTCCTGCACTCTCATGTTGTACACACACATTGTGCTCTCTCCTGCACTCTCATGTTGTACACACACATTGTGCTTCCTCTCCTGCACTCTCATGTTGTACACACACATTGTACTCTCTCTGCTGCACTGTTGTACACTCTGTTGTACACACACATTGTGCTCTCTCCTGCACTCTCATGTTGTACACACACATTGTACTCTCTCCTGCACTCTCATGTTGTACACACACATTGTACTTCTCTGCACTCTCATGTTGTACACACACATTGTACTCTCCTCACTCTTATGTTGTACACACACATTGTGCTCTCTCCTGCACTCTCATGTTGTACACACATTGTACTTGTCTCCTGCACTCTCATGTTGTACACACACATTGTGCTCTCTCCTGCACTCTCATGTTGTACACACACATTGTACTCTCCTGCACTCTCATGTTGTACACACACATTGTACTCTCTCCTGCACTCTCATGTTGTACACACACATTGTGCTCTCTCCTGCACTCTCATGTTGTACACACACATTGTGCTCTCTCCCTGCACTCTCATGTTGTACACACACATTATACTCTCCCTGTCATGTGTACACACACATTGTGCTCTCTCCTGCACTCTCATGTTGTACACACACATTGTGCTCTCTCCTGCACTCTCATGTTGTACACACACATTGTGCTCTCTCCTGCACTCTCATGTTGTACACACACATTGTGCTCTCTCCTGCACTCTCATGTTGTACACACACATTGTGCTCTCTCCTGCACTCTCATGTTGTACACACACATTGTGCTCTCCTGCACTGCACTCATTGTGCTCATGTTGTACACATACATTGTACTCTCTCCTGCACTCTCATGTTGTACACACACATTGTGCTCTCTCCTGCACTCTTATGTTGTACACACACATTGTGCTCTCTCCTGCACTCTTATGTTGTACACAAACATTGTACTCTCTCCAACACACTCAAATTGTACACACACATTGTACTCTCTCCAACACACTCAAATTGTACACACATTGTACTCTCTCCAACACACTCAAATTGTACACATACATTGTACTCTCTCCAACAAACTCAAATTGTACACACACATTGTACTCTCTCCAACACACTTAAATTGTACACACACATTGTACTCTCTCCAACACACTAAAATTGTACACACACATTGTACTCTCTCCAACACACTTAAATTGTACACATACATTGTACTCTCTCCAACACACTCAAATTGTACACACACATTATACATTCACACTGTACACGCATGTTGTAATCCTTCTGCACATCCACACATAGCGTGTAACATCTCCAGTACCTACCCATCATTCCACGGCGACTTCAGGTGCTCCTTCGTTAGTTTCAGCACTGCGTAGAACCACTCCCAGAAGGTGAAGTTCCTTCCTGGCAATGCCTCCTGGGTACAAGATTCAAACCAATCACAAGAAGATACTCCAAGTTATTGGAAATTGAAGTCAGCATACTCAAACAATATCAGGGCAGCCTGTATTTGTGGCCTACGCAAACCATCCTTCATGTCAAGTTTGGGAACTGAGGACTGGCTACAATTCTATCAACAAAATATTCTTCCAGGCATCATTGTAAATAGCAGAGCACCTTATCATTTTAAGATCCCAACATCAAAAAGTATGCTTTGGACTTTACCTGGGCCCCTCAAAGTCAAACCTTACCTGTGCCCCTCAAAGTCACACCTTACCTGTGCCCCTCAAAGTCAATCCTTACCGGGGCCTCTCAAAGTCAAACCTCACCTAGGTTCCTCAAAGTCAAACCTTACCCAGGCCCCTCAAAGTCAAATCTTACATAGACCCCTCAAAGTCAAATCTTACATAGACCCCTCAAAGTCAAATCTTACCTAGCCCCCTCAAAGTCAAGCCTTACCTGTGCCCCCAAAGTCAAACCTTACTGGGGCCTCTCAAAGTCAAACCTCACCTAGGTTCCTCAAAGTCAAACCTTACCCAGGCCCCTCAAAGTCAAATCTTACATAGACCCCTCACAGTCAAACCTTACCTGGGCCCCTCAAAGTCAAAGCTGACCTGTTCCATCAGCAATCTCTCAATTTTGTTTCATTGACATTAGAAAGTGTCAGAAGTTATATGTTAAAGAGTGACCCTGACCTTGTTAAAATGGGCCCAAGACACTGGCATGCTGGTGTAGTCCTCACTCTGCCCGAGGATCTTGCTGGCCAGGTACTTCATGTTGTTCTCTGTCAGTCCTCTGCCAGTGGCAGCTTTGAACTTCACGTTCAGTTGTTCAGCCAACAGCGGCCAAGGCACCGATTCCGGTACCTCAAATGGATTGCGCCCCTGGAGAAAAGCATAATGAGGCTTGAACCTGCTAATGTTCTATCATCATTTCAATAGGCCATGCATCTTTGTGCTTGCAGTTACTGTTGCAGTCAGCAATATTCCAACTCATCACAGCCGTGATGTACTGGGATCTGGGTCTGGTCAGTCAAGCTAGAGGCTGAAGTCATGACCAACATCTCTCACCATGATATGATGACAAAACTATGCAAGTCTGAATTCTCAATCAGACTTATTCACCCTTATGACACAAAACAGTGCCGGAACCCTGTCTCCATGGTTATAACAGACATAAAGGACAATTGATTTAGTTCACTAGTGTTCTGCATAACAATCTCTGTGCATTGTATTTCTTACATGATTCAACTTAAGTCATTATTTGCCATTTTATTGGCTAACCAAACAGTTTCATTTAATTTCATCAGCAACAAAATCGAAGTCCCTCCCACTAATTATTGCCACATTATTGCCCTGGACGATGTCACAGATTTTGTGTCATTGTCTACAGTTTTTTTGTTGCCATGAAATAAACAGTCAATGACTGACTGACTGAGTTTGGTTGTACGCCGCTTTTAGCAATATTCCAGCAACATCACGGCAGGGTACACCAGAAATGGGCTTCACACATTGTACCCATGTGGGGATTCGAACCTGGGTCTTCGGCGTGACGAGCCAACGCTTTAACCACTAGGCTACCCAACCGCCCCCTAAACAGTCAATGAAGTTCTTATTGTTGAAGTTTTCATACAAATACACTGCAATTTTTTCTGGCAGTTATGGAATTCTATAATTTGAAAATCCTTTCTAGGTCTAAACATTCAAAAACAGAAAGGAACATTGACATCAATTCTTAATTCAAGAAACACTGAGCTAAATGTTTTATGGAATTAAATATGAAATGTTTTTAAAACAAAAACAAAGCTTTCATGTTTATAGTGTCCATTGATGCACTAACACATTGGAAATGACTCTTTGATTTATCAACTTACAGGTGCAGAGAAGGCATTGTCCCATAAGATGGTTGCTAGGGCATTGCATTCCTGGTTGCCATGGACAGTAACCACAACAGGTAATGACAATGTCTGAAACATAACAACCACAGGTAAATTACAGGTAAATTGCAGGTAATTATTTCCCACTACAATCTGGAACACACTTTTTTAATTTAAAAATAACCCATTAAATACATTACTGTACAGTCTTCACTGATACGAATTTATTGCTGGTTGAAAGGAGGAACAGCTCTTGCTACAGGAGGTGAGGTAAAATTGGGTTTAAACGTCGTGCTTGAGAATATTTTGCTCATATGACGATGTGTATGCGTGTGTATGTGTATGTGTGGCTGCTTGTACTAGCCCAGACTGAAGCTGGTTTTATAGTGCTAGCCCACTGAGATACCATGCCGCAGTGAAGCATGAATACCCTACTCAGACACATCATACTCACTCCGAGCCGACCAGTCCTTGTTGTACCCATTAATGCCGAGCGCCTTGCAGGGACCAACAAGTACCATATTTTAACGTCTTTTGGTATGACGCGGTCGGGGATCAAACCCGCGACCTTCCGCTCTCCGGGCGGACGCTCTAACCACTTGCTACAGGAGCTTGTTTAAGGACACATTAGTTGTCTGAGGTTAGTGTGGTGCAGGACCAAAGCCCTAGAAACTGTCAGGAGAATGATCAGCTGGCCAAATGCCCCTCCACCATGGCTGGCTGGTTACTTCCCTAAAGCTGTACCATGTCAATAGTCTAGATCAGTGGCTGAAAGGACCTCTGCTGTACTGGTGGTCTTGTGTATATTTATGGAACCTCCCTACAGAAGTTTGTTGGCACAAGCAAACCCGACATAGAATCTTCTCTGAGCTAAGATTTGATATGTAAATAAAAGCAAACAGAGTCAGTGAGTTTTGGTTTTATGAAGATTTTAGCAATATTCCAGCAATGTCACAGCAGGGGACACCAGAAATGGGCTTCACACAATGTACCCATGTGGGGAAACAAACCCAGGTCTTCGGCATGACGAGCGAACACTTTAACCACTAGGCTACCCCACCACCCAAAAACAAATAGACATTGAGCTTCTGATGAATGCTCCAAACATGTGTCTGCTAGAATTCCCACATTTATGTAATATTTTGAGTGAGTGAGTGAGAGTGAGTGAGTGAGAGACACAGAAATGGCGTCGTGTGGACTGTTGACTTTAGCCTTTGGTTCTACATCTGGAGAATCAGTCAGAAGCTACAATAAACACTGTTAGACATGTTAGGAAGACAATCACAATGTGTGTTTAGCCCTAATGTCCACATGAGACCCTGCTAACACAAACATCACATACACAGGCTGACTGGCTGAGTATGGTTTTACGCCGTTTTTAGCAATATTCCAGCAATATCATGGCGGGGGACACCAGAAATGGGCTTCACAAGTTGTACCCATGTGGGGAATCGAACCCGGGCCTTCGGCGTGACGAGCGAACGCTTTGGCCACTAGGCTACCCCACCGCCCCCACATACACAGGTTGGTATAATATTTGGACTGACATGTGAACATCAAAGAATTGTGTTTGGTGGGGATCAAATTAAGGCTTAGAACACTGTTCTCTCCAGAAACATAGATACTCACCCACACTTGAAACACAAGTTCATTGCCTCCTACATTAAAGTCTGACTGGAACAGGATACAGAACTTCTCCTCTGTTACTGCCTGTAGAAAATAGGGCACAAACAGCTGTAGACTTTGGTTTTAGTTTAACGCAACACTCAGCAATATTACAGCTATATCTACTCAATGACGTTAAGAGCTTCATAAAGTTACCTTTTGTTCAAAATTGAAGATGGCTGCTTACCTCAGTACCTTTCCTATCTGCCCTCTTGATCTTCTTCAGTTGCTGAAAACAAATTGTCATCATTATACACATAATCATTATAATGAGCAATACCTAACCATGGTAGCCATCACCATTCCAAGACATCACCATGGTAACCATCACCATTCCAAGACATCACAAGGATAATCTTCATCATATTCAGCATGATTAAATGACAGAAGCAGAAGGTGAAGAAAGGTCAGCTCTCCATGTTTCTGAAGGTCAATTCACCATTTTCCTCAAAGTCAACACACTATCTTTCTCAGCATCAAGTCACCATGTTTGTCAAAGTCAACTCACCATGTTTCTGAAGGTAATACTGAGCTGCCCAGAACTAGACTGGTATTCCATTGTCCCGATATTGTTCAGTATCTCCCCACTCATCTCATTCTTGGCCTTTACATCACTCTTCAGTAAGTCCTGAGCTTGCTTCTCACTAGAAATAAAAAAGTTCATATTCTGAGTTTTACTCTACTTTCTCAATTCTCATCTTGTCACAAATAAATCATTCATATCAAGTGCGTATTTGGAGTTAGGTTGAAAGAAGATAAAATGGGGATAACTCTTATCTATTTAACATCATATACTCCTCACCTGATAACGGTTGCTTTTACTTGAGGAGGGTTCATATGGACGTTGAGTTTTCCTCCAACCAAGAGACGAACTGTTGCTGCAAATCGGGCATCTTTCTTTAATACTTGAGGAGGCTGTGTTTCCACTATAAAGGTGCTGCAAAATGGATTTTTAGAGTAAAAGTATTAAATTTCATGCCATTTAAGACAAAAGTATATTTATTTGCCGTTTCATCGGTATGATTTTGCGGCAAACGCACTAAAATGTCATTCAAATGTGAAGACATATACCAATCAACCAGTTACCAATCACCCTAAACAAGCCAAGACACTATTGCATACTTTCAACAGTACACAAAAATTATCTGCTAAAGATTTCGCCTATCAAAAGTCCAAAGTGATAATCCACAAAGTCACACAAATGTCCTGTGTGGATACTACTGGCCTCAGTATGGTTAATTTCAACCCTGCTACTGCAAAGTCTAAATTTGACTGTGAGTCAATGCTGTTCAACTGGGCAGTCACATAACAATCAAGTTGCCATCTTTTCTTTGTCATGGGAGCCACAGCGTTTGTAAATCTGGAAATCAAGTGACAAGAGTAACCCTGCGATGTCAACCTACCTCGTCACAAGTGATGACAATAGTCCTGTAATGTTGTCATTGAGCTCTGGGAGCAGGTTTTTGGTCCCTGGAGGGAGGTCAATTGGAAGCTGTGCCCTCAACAAGTTCACTTTTTTTATTTGCTGCCGATTTTGCCATATGAGGTCTGCCAACAGTTCACACCTGGTCAAGAAGTAAAAACATTTACAACCTTCTAGGTGTGACCCAAGTTCTTGGGCAGTAAACCATGCGACTAAGTCAAGTGTGGACAAACCAGAGAGGGATATAATGAGCAATATCTCACACCTTAGTGGTAGAATAACATGCAATAAACCATCAAATCTGACCCCTAGTCACGACCTATGACCAGCATCGGTTATTGGTGACATATTCTAACCCAGAATTCTCAGAAACACCAGATGTGGTACCCTGTAAGACCCAGTTGACCCCTATAAAACCAATGCTTGTTGTAAAAATAGTTTGGGTAGCCCGACTTAGTGACTGTAATCTGACCCCAGGTCACCACATATGACCCAAGTATCAGTTGTTGGTTACCTATTCTAACCCAGAATTCTCACTGTGTACCTATAAGGGGCGGGGGTAGCCTAGTGGTCAAAGTGTTGGCTCGTCACGCCGAAGATCCGGGTTCGAATCCCCACATGGGTACAAATGTGTGAATCCTATTTCTGGTGTCCCCCGCCATGATGTGGCTGGAATATTGCTAAAAGCGGCATAAAACCGAACTCAGTCAGTCAGTCAGTGTACCAATAACTGAAACACCAGGGCCTAGATATTCGAAACGTTCGTAGCCCTAAGAAATTTTAACTTTGATCATAGCCAATGTGCTAAGAATGGGCTTAAGAAGTTGGTAGGGCTACGAACGTTTCAAAAATCAAGGCCCAGATGTGGTGTAGAGACCGAGTACACTGTCGGTACCTTCAAACCCAAAATGGGTCGTTACGCACCACATCAGCCACAGTTTGCCTAGTCCAGACTTAAGGCCATAGAGCTGGAATTTTGCTGGAATGTTGAACATTGAATCACAAACACAAAGCAAAAGATTATTATCAACAGACCATTTCTGCAGTGTCTCCAGCCCTTCATTGAGAGGGGCGCCATTGCCAGCCTGCTGCTGCTGCCTCTTCCACTGGATGAGTTCCGTGTCAAGCACCTGCTTCTGGAGCTCCTGCAGCCCCACCAGGGTTTGATGGTAGTAGATGGCAATCTCCTGCAGCCACACGACACGGGTCAGTAAACACAGGGATACATGACAGTTTCATATAACATCCACCATAGCAGATGAAAGAATGGACTACAACTGAACAGATGGACCATGTCTGTTAAACATATGGACCATCTCTATAAAACACATGGGTCATATCTGATGAATGTATGGACCATCTTGATCATGGGACCATGTCTGGTAAACATATGGACCATCTCTATAAAACACATGGGTCATATCTGATGAATGTATGGACCATCTTGATCATGGGACCATGTCTGGTAAATATATAGACCATCTCTATAAAACACATGGGTCATATTTAATGAATGTATGGACCATCTTGATCATGGGACCATGTCTGTTAAACATATGGACCATCTCTATAAAACACATGGGTCATATCTGATGAATGTATGGACCATCTTGATCATGGGACCATGTCTGGTAAACATATGGACCATCTCTATAAAACACATGGGTCATATTTAATGAATGATGAATGTATGGACCATCTTTTAGATCATGGGACCATGTCTGTTAAACATATGGATCATCTCTATAAAACACATGGGTCATATCTGATGAATGTATGGACCATCTTGATCATGGGACCATGTCTGATATAAAATGTATGGACATATGGACCATGTCTCTATAAAACACATGGGTCATATTTAATGAATGTATGGACCATCTTGATCATGGGACCATGTCTGTTAAACATATGGACCATCTCTATAAAACACATGGGTCATATATCTGATGAATGTATGGACCATCTTGATCATGGGACCATGTCTGGTAAACATATGGACCATCTCTATAAAACACATGGGTCATATTTAATGAATGTATGGACCATCTTTAAAACACATGGGTCATATCTGATGAATGTATGGACCATCTTTCATGGGACCATGTCTGTTAAACATATGGACCATCTCTATAAAACACATGGGTCATATCTGATGAATGTATGGACCATCTTGATCATGGGACCATGTCTGGTAAACATATGGACCATCTCTATAAAACACATGGGTCATATTTAATGAATGTATGGACCATCTTGATCATGGGACCATGTCTGTTAAACATATGGACCATCTCTATAAAACACATGGGTCATATTTAATGAATGTATGGACCATCTTGATCATGGGACCATGTCTGTTAAACATATGGACCATCTCTATAAAACACATGGGTCATATTTAATGAATGTATGGACCATCTTTTAGTAATTCATGGGACCATGTCTGTTAAACATATGGACCATCTCTATAAAACACATGGGTCATATTTAATGAATGTATGGACCATCTTGATCATGGGACCATGTCTGTTAAACATATGGACCATCTCTATAAAACACATGGGTCATATCTGATGAATGTATGGACCATCTTGATCATGGGACCATGTCTGGTAAACATATGGACCATCTCTATAAAACACATGGGTCATATTTAATGAATGTATGGACCATCTTTTAGTAATTCATGGGACCATGTCTGTTAAACATATGGGCCATCTCTATAAAACACATGGGTCATATCTGATGAATGTATGGACCATCTTGATCATGGGACCATGTCTGTTAAACATATGGACCATCTCTATAAAACACATGGGTCATATTTAATGAATGTATGGACCATCTTTTAGTAATTCATGGGACCATGTCTGTTAAACATATGGACCATCTCTATAAAACACATGGGTCATATCTGATGAATGTATGGACCATCTTTGTTAATGTAGGGAACTTTCACTATTGAATGTAAAGAGCATCCATGATGAATGCATTGATGTAATTGTGTTGAATTTGATAACCTATTTGAATATATGGACCTTCTATGCTGGATACATGGATCATCCCTCATACATGAGTGTCATTCTCTTGTATGTACTTCCTATTCAATGTTTGGCCTGTCTCTGTTGAATGTAACATGTGACTCACAATTCTGTGCTGTAGCAGCTCCTGGGCTTTCTGAGTCAACTGCACCTCCACCTCCACCTTCTCCTTCTGCAACAACGCCTCCTTTGCGACAAGCTCTGTTGTCCGGGGCTGGGGCTGTAACTGCTGGATCTGAGCTAAAATCATCCAACAGATAAAACATCACAGATTAAGTTCTTCAATTATGTGTTTCAAACATGAAAGCAACATTCCTTTCATAGGTCAGAAACCAACAATTTATTCTCCTCTGTACGTCTAAAAGAAATCTCACTCTGTAAGACCGAAACCAATAATTCTCCCTTTATATGTCTCAAGAAGATTTTAATTCTTCCTTAATCCTCTAAATGCTGAACCCATTCCACAGGAGAGTAATATCCCTAAATATAACTTGCAATAACTATTTCCCAAGTATGATTTGCGTGTCATTTGAATTATATATGGAATGCATAAATGTTCAGTTTTCTAAATATATAAACTTTAAGTAGTTTAAGTACTTCAAAACGAAATGCCTGCAGATTAAAAATGTATTGGACAAATTTCTCAGCACACAGCCACCCGCAACGGCCACTGTTGACTTCAGGCACTTCACGTTGAGTGGTAGGCAGTCTGTTACTTTCTTTATAGTGAAATCATTTTTTAGAATTTGATCAATATTTTTGTTCTTTCTTTATTATTAATATGGGCAACTTTTGGTGTAGCTACTAACACTAACACTAGCTACAATAAGGCATTGTAAAGGGGGTGGGTGATTTCAAACAGTTGGTGTGTCATTAAATAAGGGACAACTGAACCAAGATTTTTCACATTAATACTAGATAGAAAAGATTACACTATTGAATATTTGAACTCTTTAATATTTAGCCTAAACACAAACTTGTAATGACACTCAAAGAAGTAAATTAATTATCCCTCCAGAAATTTCAAACAAACAATTAATTCTCCCTCCAGAGGTCTCATAATACAGACATGGTGAAATAATAAATCTCAACAAACCTTTAAGTTTTTTATGGACATTCTTATCAAAACTGAACTGCAGATAACTGAGCCTTGGTTAGACTCTGAATTCCGTTTAATCTACACTGGAATCACAACTCACCAGTTATTTTAAGGCTGTCTTGATACTGAATGATGAAGGACTCCTGTTCAGACTGTAAGTGTTTCAACGTCTGTTCACTTGCCTGCAAAAACATATTGCTTCCTTCAGTGTGTGAAAGCTTTTCAAAAGCATACCCTGTAATCCTGTTATTATATAGGAGAAGTCGTGTATCAGACATGAATAAACATACTCAAGTTGATGCCAACCTAAGCCAGGTAAAGTGGAACAGAAACAATTGGCAATTTAATTACAGGACATAGACATTTATGTCCAAGTTTCTTCAGTAGTCAAAACTAACGTTTCTTTTATTGTCACCAATTTGGTGTCTCACAGTGTCAATAAACAAGATGGAGTTATATAATAATAATAATAATAATAATAATAATTTGTATAGCGCTTTTCCACACATCAATACACGCTCAAAGCTCTTTAGCAAAGAAAGTCCAGTGTCAGAGATAGTTGTTGAACAGATAAGTCTTCAGGAGGGCTTTGATAGGTCTTCAGGAGGGCTTTGAATGATGGAAGAGAGTCAGAGTTTTTTAAAGAGTCAGGGAGCTGATTATACAGTTCTACACGATCAAGGATCATATAAAAATATAACAGAACCAATACACATTTTTACAGCAAATATAGGGATCGTGTAGTCTCTGGTGATGTGCTTCAATCAGCATAGCTATATAGATGGGGTATATAAATTAGAATTTTGAAGATCTTAATGTCTGGTAACTTTATAAACAGCGATGTACAGTATATGTCTATTTGTGAATGGTTGTACCTGAGTTCTCTGTACTTGTTCCTCCAGCTTCAGCTCAATCTGAGCACCCACAGAGGGTATCATTGGAGCGGCATCTAGTTTCTGCTCTGGCTGAAAACATAGCATCATACACTGTGGATAGATACTTTCATCTCACGAAGTGGTCCTAGCTCGCCAGCTTTCTTGAATCTATGTCAAAGTAAGGCGTTACAACAGCATGGGGACTGCTTTATAAGCTGGGGGACAGGACGCCAACAGGCAACAAATGCTGAATCTAGGTCAAAGTAAGGCGTTACAACAGCATGGGGACTGCTTTATAAGCTGGGGGACAGGACGCCAACAGGCAACAAATGCTGAATGTAGGTCAAAGTAAGGCGTTACAACAGCATGGGGACTGCTTTATAAGCTGGGGGACAGGACGCCAACAGGCAACAAATGCTGAATGTAGGTCAAAGTAAGGCGTTACAACAGCATGGGGACTGCTTTATAAGCTGGGGGACAGGACGCCAACAGGCAACAAATGCTGAATCTATGTCAAAGTAAGGCATTACAACAGCATGGGGACTGCTTTATAAGCTGGGGGACAGGACGCCAACAGGCAACAAATGCTGAATGTAGGTCAAAGTAAGGCGTTACAACAGCATGGGGACTGCTTTATAAGCTGGGGGACAGGACGCCAACAGGCAACAAATGCTGAATGTAGGTCAAAGTAAGGCGTTACAACAGCATAACTGCTTTATAAGCTGGGGGACAGGGCGCCAACAGGCAACAAATGCTGAATCTATGTCAAAGTAAGGCATTACAACAGCATGGGGACTGCTTTATAAGCTGGGGACAGGGCGTAACAGGCAACAAATGCTGAATGTAGGTCAAAGTAAGGCGTTACAACAGCATGGGGCTTTACTGGGGACAGGGCGCCAACAGGCAACAAATGCTGAATCTATGTCAAAGTAAGGCGTTACAACAGCATGGGGACTGCTTTATAAGCTGGGGGGACAGGACGTCAACAGGCAACAAATGCTGAATGTAGGTCAAAGTAAGGCGTTACAACAGCATGGGGACTGCTTTATAAGCTGGGGGACAGGACGCCAACAGGCAACAAATGCTGAATCTATGTCAAAGTAAGGCGTTACAACAGCATGGGGACTGCTTTATAAGCTGGGGGACAGGACGTCAACAGGCAACAAATGCTGAATCTCAGCCTCGCCTTAACTGCAGTGTTTAAAGCAAATAGTAAGTCAAAACTTAAAAATGTCTCATATCTCTAACTGGCAACCAGAAGTGAATTTCAGTTGCTCTTTTTGAATAGAAAAGCAATAAAAATTGTGCAAAACACAATTGTTTATTCTATTAAAATAAAATAAATACAAAATATAGACTACATAATCTCATATCTTCTGCTTTACCAGTGTTTACACCTGAAATATTTCATTGAAGTCACTGATGTTGATACAGCTACAATAAACATCCTACAGATATCAATGTTTCTGCAATTTGTTTACAAGACGAATGTCTTGCGTTGTTGTGCCATGTTGTAAGCAAACTCTATTCAAAACAACAGACAGACAATGGTTTGTTTTAAAGGTGGATCAAGGGGAGATAACTCTGACACTCACTGCTTTGGCTTGCTCAATGAGCTTTTTCTCCATTTGTAGACAGTTCTTGATGACTCGGACTAACTGGAAGGGGTTCTGTTCATAATTTTGCTGAAAACAATTTGATTCCATTATGAACATAGAGAACACTTGATAATGATTTCTGCATACATATTTGTCCTAGCTGTTCTGCATATTTAAGCCCCCAAATCAGCTTGTTAAGACAACCTTTTTGTTTTCCCAAATGACATGACAATGCAATACAGAAAACCAACTTATGATCAATAATTGTCATGTACATCAGAAGCAATATCTTCAGCAAAGTGGCAAAGTTTGATTGCAAAGTCATCTTGTTATTGCTCTGTAAAATGCTAGAAATATTTTATTATCAGATTTTTTTATCCAAAATTTGAAGGAGGACTTATCACAGAGTGTCAACTAAGCTGTATTAGGAAAGTCCAAAGTTTACGCCACTTTTAGCAACATTCCAGCAATATCACGACAGGGAAACACCAGAAATGGGCTTCACAGTTTGTACCTATGTGGGAAATCAAACCGGGGCCTTCAGCATAACAAGCAAACACTTTAACTGCTGGGCTACCCCAACAGACATATGACACCATACAGTATCAGGCTAGTCCTTGTTACCTTGAATGTTGCTGTCGCCTCCTGCAGCTTGAGTCTGATGGGGAAGAACTGGTCACCATCAAACTCCTGTACCTTATTGGCCAGGTTGGTGACAAGCTGCTCCAGCAGGGTGCTGGCCACACTCTCGTGTTGGGCATTGTCCAGATCGATATTCATCCTGAAACAAACATTAATCATCAATCAGTAACGGACTCATCATAACTGGGCTTCACTATTACCAGCATAGGTTTCCCTATTTCAAACATGGGCTTCACTATTACCAACATGGTTTCGCTTTTACCAACATGGGTTTCACTATTACCAATATGGTTTCACTGTTACCAACATGGGTTTCACTGTTACCAACATGGGTTTCACAGTTACCCACATAGACTTCACTATTACCAACATGGGTTTCACCATTACCAATATGGTTTCACTGTTACCAAAATGGGCTTCACTGTTACCAACATGGCTTCACTATTACCAATATTGGTTTCAACATGGGTTTATTACCAACATCGGCTTAACTATAACCAACATCGGCTCCACTGTTACCAACATTGGCTTAACTATTCCCAACATGGCTTCACTATTCCCAACATCGGCTCCTAGTGTGTAGTATGTATAACACTGTTTGATCATTTGTTTAAAAATCTGGATGAAATTATATGCAAGAAGAAACAGTATTCATGAATAATTGTTTGTATTTGTTATTTGAGATACAAATCACATTTGCCACTTGTTGTATTTCTTACAAACCAAGTAAACATGTTTAGTGCAAACCAGTTTTAATCAGAAAGTCAAGTGCCACTGCCACCTGAATATGAAAGCCATATGTACTTTCAGACAATCACATGATTAATTATTCTAGTTAGGAAACACGAGAACAGCTGTTAAACCATGTCACACAAACATAGGGGCTGCTTCAGTTAAAAAGTGAGTATTCAGGTGACCTTGACATTTTAACAAGTCACTGAAAACCAATTTCAATGTCCCAACCTGGAGATATGTGCCTATGACTACACCAAACACTTCTTGAGCTATTATGAACACGTCTTGAGTTAATATGAACACATCAGCCTGAGAGTGAATTTAACTGCAACATCAATTCCAAGTACATTAAGAATATTGTCAAACACATGATTATGAACCAAAGAGGTGGAATTCATCAAAACACAAATAAGTTTATCAATGACAGGTCATTATTACTTGTCAACACTTGTCATGCAAACATATATTTTAATAGTATATAAAGTACTGTACATGACAATAGATTAGCTGAGCTCATAGATAAACTGATATCCAAGTATGTATATGTATTACTAGTTTCATCAATAGTTATATTGGTGGTTGCAGTAATACAGTACACAAACCATTTTCAAAGCTATGACCTTGACCCATCCCATGCGATGTATTCAAATAACATTATAACACGGTTATAATGAAGGACATCTGTACGAAATGACATCCCCCCGTCAAGTACATCCTTTAGTTGAGTGAGTGAGTATGGTTTTAGCAATATTCCAGCAATATCACAGCGGGGGACACAGGAAATGGACTTCACACATTGTACCCATTTGGGGTAATCGAACCCGGGTCTTCAGCAGGACGAGCTTACACCTTAACCATTAGGGTACCCCACCACCCCGCTTTATTTGAGAAGAAAACCTGGAGAGATGTTGGTTTCCAGTCCGAACCATTTCTGTGAAATTCATGGGTGTCATTCTGACAAACCCAGACGTATGATCAGCACCAGATTCATCCCCCATCACAGGTTCCTGATGTACCTCTCTGCACACTGCCGTTCAGCGCCTTAGATGACCAAACAACTTCCCACATAGCATTCGGGCGTTGGGCCAACGTCTGAATGCTATCTGGGTTGTACCTTCCATCAACTCCCCCCAGAACAGCTGTAAATGGCTTACCATGGCTGGTCCTCTATCCACTGAGCTAAGAAGTGTCTAACTTCGATGGGGAACTGACTGGAGTAGATGGACTGGATCTGCCTTGTTGCCTGAGGGTACTGCTGAATGGTAGCCCACTGGGCCATGATGGCTGGCAACTGCTTATGCTGTCTCCTTCAGTGTAGCTGAAGAAGCAGAATTTACAGTCAAAACAAGTATCGTCATGCATACATCAGAAAGAGCCATCATTTGTTGCTTACCAGCTTCAAAGTAAAGGATATCTGAAAAATCCAGGTAAAAATCATTGTTAAAAATGACACACCTCCTTCACAAAACCTTCACAATGACATTTAACTAATTCAACAGTTCTGCCACACCCTATAGCGACATGCACAAGTTTCACAAACCAGATTCATGAGGTCACTTCTCCAAACAGGCTTAATTGTTCAAACATGAGAATGATTTATATAAAGCATATAGAAATATAGCACAACAAAACATCAAAGAAAGGTTTTCAACAAGCACAATCTTTGTATTTTGTCTCATTTTCATTACAATAGTGGTGATGCTGTTCATTTCCAGAGTCAGATGTCACAGACTTTAACCTGTTTACCAGAACAGAACAGAACTTATAATATTACACTCAGGCCAAGATACTCAGCATATGAGGTACAAATATACTGTAGAGAATACATGGGATGGCGGGATGATTTACAAGGAAGATTGTACAGTTTTCATGATAGTACTACAAAATATACACAGTTTTTTTAAAACACTAATTTGTTTACAGTTAAAGGGCAAGTGTACACGAAAATAAACCTTTTTGTCTTGCACTTTTTCATCATGAGCAATGTTTGTCAAGTAGTTTTATATCCAAACCCGTACACATATCAGAAGTAACTAATTTATTTTTTGCGTTATATCAATTCATATGTTCAACATTTACCCAGAGTTCTGTGTCCACAATAGACATACCATGGCTTATGTCCCTTGGAAATGACGTCATTGGTGCCCAAATGATAAATGAATGACGTCGATAGACCTTATTAGACCCATTTTACGTGGTGCAGGTATAGGTGCGGTTCTTGTGACTCGATACTGTTTTAATCCAGCTGTTGCCTGGCCGTCAGCTGGCTATGTCATCAGTTCTACACTGTAATGACGTTGCAGTTTGAAAAAACGTATACATTGTACTAAATGTGTTACCACGTAACCAAATTGTATAACATTCAACCTGTGTCGGTCACTTTTTCAACGGTATCTTTTTCACAAAAACTAAAATGTGCACTACATCTAGCTTGCCATCGGCGAATGTGCCGGCATTCTACGTTTGTTACTAAAATTCCTACTTAAATCGTACAATATGTCCCTCCTCTTCCACCTTCACTTTGATATCGATACCATATCCATGTACATCACGAAAATAAATGCAATTTGCACTTTTGAACTCTGTTTGAAATTAGTTTTTCTATATCATCCGCTCATTGTAGATCAAATATACTGAAAATTACATGCATTGTAAATCTCGCCAATTTTGACACATTACTACATCACCATTCACTGCGTTTTGCGTGTCTTAATTCAAATGTCAAATTTTACTGGGAGAATTGAATTTAAAAGAAAAAGACCTATCATTGTGATCAGCGGTAGTTTTGTTGTTGTATGATCAAATCACTAACGCTCGTTGAACGATGAACCGAGAATCGCTGAGAATGTTTTGGAAAATACGCTTGCAAACACAATTAACGTCAAAGTGAATTTTCAGCCATTTTACACTATTTACAGAGTGTTTCATTCTCTTCCCACATAGGTTACTCCTGTCATATCTTCCTACGTAACCTCTGTTCTAATACGGCCCTTTCATGGTGTGAGCGTTCAAGACTCGTGATTGGAGGCAATCAGATTTAGTTGTGCAATCAGCGACGTTGTTTCAAAAGTGATCATTCGCAAGGCCTCGGTAATTTCCGTATGCTTCGAGAAAACTAAACCTCTTCCCCTGCGCGATGCGCAAACGTGTCTTCTAGACAGAACTCAGTCATGTTATGGCGGATCAGTGGCGTCTCCATCGCCCTCGTTGACAACGGACAAGCTAGCTATTAAACGTCTTGTGTGTAACATCAACACAAGTCCCCGGCAGATGGAGGATATTTGTGGCCCCACATTTGCTTGTGTTAGTCAAGTTGAATCTAAGTCGATGTAACACGTGTTCTGATTGGATAGAAAGAAGGGAGATAATTCGTGTTGCGATCTTTTGCCGCTAGGGGATTTTACGAGAACCGGGAAATATGGCCGTATTAGAACAGAGGTTCGTATGAAGATATGACAAGTAACCTCTGCGGGAAGAGAATGAGAGTGTTTATAAAATTACGTCACATGTATGACGGCTATATTTCGCCCATAAAATCAATTGAATATAGTTCAACACCATCTTCCTGACACGAATCCCTGAATTTCTCATACAGTTCAAAATAAACTGACAAATGGACTTTGTCACCAATTCGAAGTGTTTCAGTGAAATCGAACGAAATATATCAGATGCCGCGCTGGGAAAGGACCACTTGTTTGAAAGCCAATCCCAGATTTTACACTGTGTATCCGCTCGCCTACTTGTTGCATACACTTGCTCATTAGTTTTAGAACATGCATGGGAAAGGTATCGTGGCAAGCGATAGTTAAATAAAATAGGTGTATTCGATTGATTTTCTAGATTCATCACAACATATCATGGTTTCTGAAAGCGTGGACGCCATGACTGACGAACGCGACGCTACAACGATGACGGTACCGCTCTTAATTTCTGACTATTTCCCTTGGTCACAATGAAAACAAGAAGAAAATAACAACCAGCAGACTGACAGAATTTTCGGACTACTTACATGTCACATTTATGCATATACGCTGCTTGAAACAACGAAAATTTCTTCGACAACTCCGGCGTACTCGCGTCAGTTAACACGCCATTTTGAAAAAGTTGCTTCCCGATAGTGATGTCATACGGACGTCAACATTGTTATACATATTTGGTATTTTCATTGAGGTGAGGTTATCAATGAAAACACACACGATCAATCTGTCCTGCTGCTTACATTTTCTGTTCTTATGCTTCTTTTGAACTTTTTTCATGTGATTAATTTCATGTATTATTATCTTTTGATTTGGGACTAGACAGTGGACCAGTTTAAAATCAAGTGGCACCAATTACGTCATAATCAAAGGGCGGTAAATCTGGCCTGTTTAGCTCGGCAAACAAAGGCTTCATATTGGCATAACATTTCAGCACTTATTTTGAGGGTTATACTTACATTGTAACTTATAATGTAAGAAAAATGAGTGTATATTTTCAAACATTGGTATTAACTAATTAAAACAGTTCACTTTGATTCACAGAAGAATAAATGTGATTTATTCGTGTACACTTCCCCTTTAAACAGTTTATTAAATCTTAAAACATTTGGTTTTTTAACCATAATGGCTTGGGTTTAAGTTTTTCGATGGTGTTTGAAGAAAGGGGCAGAGAGAAATGTAGTGAAAGCCCAAAACGTAGGAATGAAAATTTCTTTACCAAACATCTTTATACCTGACACATGCATAAAGAGTCCACTTAAAGGTCACATGCAACCAAAAAATCAAACATAATTAAAACACAATTATCACTTCTTCATGACATATAATACGCATTGCTGATTATGAAAAAACAAATAAACAAAATTATAAGCGCATAATCACAAATCAAAAGTGCAATATTTTGTACTTGGGTTTACCTCCCTCGAAACGAAGCAGCCGGGATACCGAACCCAGTCAGAGCGGGTGGGTGTGCACTCAAGTGTAACGGCTGGTTCATTAGCAGATGCCGTCTTCACGGGTCATTGTGTGTGTATATATAGAGATGTTGGGTTTTGTAAATACATGCTCATTTTTTATGTATAACATTTTGCAATCAACAGACATCATAACATGTCATGTGTTCAAGTATCACACCTGCCTGTCTGTGTAATTACATAATGTGACTGAGACCGAACTCGGGCCATAAATCAATGCGTTTTGTTTATGGTGTATAGCCTGATTGGTGTTAAGTTCAAATTGCATGTGGTCAGTGATCGCAGTTGTGTATTGAATATTGTCATTAGCGGACAGGCAGGCAGACACACAGGTGTCAATAAAACAAGACATTGAGTTTTGTCTGTGACAGCGACATATCTATATCACAGTTAGAAATTGTGTCAACGCTAAATAATGACATTGCTTTTAAGTATCGAACTGAGAAAGTGACTCGGTAAGAAGACCGTGTGGTGAAATAGACAAATGAAATTATATAAACAGTTTATTTACTGTCATAACATATAAAAAGCTCGCGCCTGTGAGATATCAACAAAACATTAGAAAAATAGCTCACACCAAAGCCTTCACCGAGTATTCACCAGACAGCCCGCTTCCAAGTTGCGCGAACCTATTTCACTGCGCACGTGCTATGAGCGCAGCCCAGCTGTTGAAACCCGTATTCCCCAGAAAAGTCTGGGGAAAATTAGTGAAACGTTTGAACTCCGATTTCGCGCGGTTTTTTTCATCGCGTTATTTTTCAACTTTATAAGTTGAATTTGCATTTTTGACGATTTGTTTCGGTAAGTCAATACCGAAAAGGTATCAGAATCTGCAAAGTTGTGTTTTACGTTGCATGTGACCTTTAAGCACAAATCATCTGCTGTAACCTTGAAACATGACCAACTTATACAATGTTCAAGATATCAAGTTTCTGAGCCACTGATAATTAACTAATATAAACCTTTCTCATTGGTTGTAAACTATTACAAATTGTATCTGGGTACTGAATATACTTTCACTCACATTTGGCTATTCTAGAAATTTGTTTTTAATAATTCTGCATACCATCCTTATGCAGGTGACTCCAAAACATTAATGTGTAAATTTATTAATTGTGACATCTTGCATTGAGCACTGTCTCAAAGTATTTCAGGTGAGTGTGAGTTGGTACAATATAAAACCTGAACTACACTTCACGGATAGCTACTTGGTTGTATCTCTAGCTACTCCACATACGCTTACAAGTGCAACTTCCTTCTTCAGTCATGCACTGTTTCTTTAAAAATAGACATGTTTTTGACAACTTCAACAAACAGTCCTCTGTTTGGGCATCCGTTTCATTTGGTTCTACATCGATCTCCATCTAAAGCAAGTTACAGATTCAGATCAATAAAAAATGCATGTGTCCCCTGGAATGATAAATTAATGTTCCTGGTATAAACATCAGGATCCCCTAGAAACATTTTAGCAAGAAAATAATACAATACTATTTGACGCTCGTAAGTTATATTAATATAGGAAGAGTTCTTTCAAGAGCATGTGTATGGTAAACAATTAAACATGACCCAGGGGTGAACGCATGGGGCGACATGTTGGAGAACACCCTCCATGTTGTCTAGGTAAATGTGATATTTCCAATTGTGTCGCGGTGTCAACAGCAGCCTCCTCATGCAACCATCGCAAAAACAGTTAGGTCTGCTGTTCAATGTGTAGAGCAACGACACATTACAAAGAAGAACGGACACACGTATAAAACTATACTGGAAACGACTCCGCTCGGACAGGACACGGTGTTGTGGACCACGATCATCCCTCGTAGTCGTATTGCAGATTAGGTCCATCATTTCGGTATACGAGTCACAACATTTCCACAACATCAGACAATTAGTAGCTTATCAACAAGCGGATGTTAAAATACGCACCTGTTCCGCAACAAACTCCTAGGTTCCTACGCTTTGCGCTGCTCGGACGCGCTTTCTGTGCGTTCGTGGAACTGCTCGGGGTTAGGGGAAGTCTTTCCAGGAATTGACCAAAATAGACAAGATTTAATTGTGAACGTAAATTTGATTGGACTGTTTTCCCGACATTTTGGGAATTCCCCATTCAGCGACCAATGAAAACTCGCGTTTTGTATTAATGATGGGAAATTCCAGTCTCGGTTTAGAAGATAAAGTTTCGCTCGTTGAATTCGGAAAAATGATTTCCTGGATTTCCCAATCACTGACAAAAGCGAAAGAAAAGCAAGTACTTTAGCTTGGCGCGAATTCAAAACAAAAGATGGAAAATTTGGAGACTCAAACAAAATTTATTTGTCGAGGATCGTATGTCCTTTGACAGGTGCTCGCTGACCGGTGAACCAATAAAATGTGTCGTACCGTGAGTTGACGATAACGGTTATTATGTAATAATATTAAAAACATGACCACTTGTTGATCGCGAAAAAACCCTTTGTGAAATGTATTCGAAGACACACCATGATGCTTTGCTAAGATGTTGTTTAGCATAAACATAACACCCTGGATAGGATGACAATTTAGGGGTGTGCAGTTAAAGGCGCACCGTCTTGAGGATGACACATGACAGGTAGCCCCGTGATTAGAGCTGCTGTTGGCCTTATCCGGATGTTTACCGCTCTTCAGCCATTCTGTTATTGTGGTAAACATAATATACATTGCTATACATAGAACTTGGAACCTTGCAATAACAAACTTGCACGCAGACCTCATCTGTGAGATTGATTACATATATTCCTGCAATTTGACAAACAAGAGACAGGTTAGACTAACAACTAGTCTCTGAAATGAACATATTTTACTGAAAAAAGTTCATAGTAAAAAAAATATATATATAATGAAAAGGAGCCCTGAGACTTTCTTCAATCTAGACATGCCACTTTTTCTAGACTTGTGTGGGCTTTCTTGGATATATTTGCTTCAGGGTCTGTACGAGAGACTAGAGACAGGTTAAAGATGGAAAACCCGAGAATTTAAAAAATTCCAGAATTTTGGTTTTGGTTCCAGTTTAATTTACATATGTAGACTGATGTATAAGTATAAGTGAGTGTATGTTGACATAACGTTTAATGTCACCGATGTTAGGTTTTCAGGCAATGTTGCTTAAATTATTTCTCTTTTGTGTGGGTCATTTTAAGTTGACTATCATTAGTAAATTACTTTGAAAAGTGATAAAGTTTTGTCTTCAGTGTGAGAAACAAATCATGACTACCACCAATTAATCCACACCATACTATGTGTGTGGTTTCATGCTTTACTTCCTTGTGTTGAATGACATGTTTCTCTGAGAGGTCATTTACAGCTTTTCTCATCTGTCACGTGGGGTGAGATTTGTTTGCAATAACAACACTTCACTGTTATCTAGGTAATCCAGTGTACATGGCTGATATATTGAAGACGTACGTTATCTGACTGACAAGATATGAAATGTTATCATAGGTGGTTGACCAATGTCCCTGTGAGTGCAAGGTGTCATGTCATCATCAAGCACTAATAGTAGTGACAGTGATGGCTATGACAATTGACACTAGAGGCAGTACCTATGACAACAGAGGTAATGCCTGTTACACTAGCAGTATAACTAGTCATGACACTAGAGGCAGCTGTGGCACTATCAATATGACTAGCCATGACACTAGAGGGGGAAGGTGTGATACTAGTACTGTAACTAGTCATGACTCTAGAGCAGGTGGGGCACTAGCACTAAGACTAGTCATGACACTAGTGCAGAAGATGACACTAGCACTGTGACTAGTCATGACACTAGTGCAGAATATGACTAGCCATGACATTAAAGGCAGAAGGTGTGACACTAGAGCAGGTGGGACACTAGCACTTTGATGAGTCATGACACTAGAACAAGTAAGACACTAGCACTGTGACTAGTCATGACAGTAGAGCAGAAGTTGTGACACTAGCACTGTGACTAGTGATGACACTAGAGCAGAAGTTCAGACACTAGCACTGTGACTAGTCATGACACTAGAGCAGGTGAGACACTAGCAATATGACTAGTCATGACACTGAAGGCAGAAGGGTGACACTAGCACTATAGCTAGTGATGACACTAGATCAGGTGGGACACTAACGCTATGACTAGTCATGACACTAGAGCAGGTGGGACACTAGCACTATGACTAGTCATGACACTAAATCAGGTGGGACACTAGCACTATAGCTAGTGATGACACTAGAGCAGGTGGGACACTAGCACTATAGCTAGTCATGACACTAGAGCAGGTGGGACACTAGCACTATGACTAGTCATGACACTAGAGCAGGTGGGACACTAGTGATGACACTAGAGCAGGTGGGACACTATCACTATAGCTAGTCATGTCTCAAGTGCAGGTGGGGCACTAGCACTGTGACTTGTCATAACATCAGAGATAGGTGTGATACTAACACAATGTCTAGTCATTTCATGAGAGGAGATGGTGTAAAAGTAACAGTACTAGCCATGATACTAGAAGCATAGGGTGTGACCTTAGAAGGCATAAACATAACACCCTGGATAGGATGACAATTTAGGGGTGTGCAGTTAGGGCGCACCGTCTTGAAGACACATGACAGGTAGCCCATGTAGACCTGTCGTGATCAGGCTGCTGTTGGCTTTATGGTATCTGGATGTTTACCGCTCTTCAGCTATTATATTTTTGTGGTAAACATAATATACATTGCTATACATAGAACCTTTAGGTCCTGAGAAACTTGTTTTGTATGAAACAATCTCTTAATTATTAATATCATGGATATCATAAACAGATATTCAATAAGAACAAACTTGCACAGCAGGCCTCGTCTGTGAGAATGTTAGTATAGGCTATTGATTACATATATTCCTGCAATTTGACAAACAAGATGCAGGTTGGGGGACATAGTTGGAATTAAAACCTGTAACAGACCTAAACAGGAAACCTGAGAATATAAAAAAATTCTAGCACTTTGGCTTTGTTTCCAGTTTAATTTACATAGGTTTTCAGAGAATATTGCTCTTTCTTTTTTGTGTGGGTCATTTCAAGTTGACTTATTAGTAAATGATACTTGAAGCAGAGGGTGTGACCTTAAAAGTATGGCTAGTCATTACACTAGAGAAAGTGACCTCAGAAAAGGGTGCATGTCATAACAGTAATGCTTTCACAGACATATAATCAGTTCCGTCTTGCTTTACTGTCGGTTATAACATTGTGATAGGAAGGTAATATCAAATAGTGAAATCATGTTGAATACAAATACCAGAAAACTGGTGATACCTATATTGCACCACACGGCAATAGCTGTCATGGAGATCTTATTAAATCTGAGCCTAGTGTGTGCTTTGTCCCATTCACAGCTGTTGCAGTAGGTATATTTAATACAAAACAATATCTCCATTGCAGATGAGACAAGCACCTGTTTCATTAAAGTGACACAGCACGGGTCTCTACAACAAGTTCAAGTGAAAAATGTCCGCTCTCTACGTTGTGACAGTTACATAAGTCAAATGTCGTTATCTGGGCCACGTTGAGGTGGCGACCCTGAGGACACTTTACAAGGAGACTGCAGTTATATGTGAAGCATCACAGTATGTTAGAATGATAGTCTAACAATGGAGGAAGAGGAATCTGAGCCCCTGATACACTCCCATTCAAGGGAGGAGGTGCCAGGCGTAAGTGCGGCATCACCAGAATGTGCACAAGTAGATAGACTGCATGGAGGCACTCCTAACTCTGTAGCTAACCCTGAGGTTATAGGGCATGTACAGGTCACAGGCCAGCCAACGGTACATTGGATTTTTATTTTGCTTCTGTTTGTTTTTCTCTGTATCATTAACAATGCTTACATTTTGTTTTGTTCGTATATTTGCTTGTTTATAAGTTTTATAATTTGCACTTACATGGCTTGAATTTGTTAGCATGTTTTGGCAATGTTTATGGTGACATCTCTTACTTGCCTCAAATATTGCTTCAAATGTCTTTTTCTGCAACAAATTTGCTGTACAGTAACAATGCTTACGGTCTACTCCCATTTGTGAGAACTCCCAGTTGTGAGACAGTGGAGTAGGTAAGTAGCAAAGAAAACACACCTTACTCCCCTATCTGATAGAATGGATTAACCCCAGCTAATTAGGGATTAGCTATTTAACTGAATCTTGTGGAGGTAGCTTAAAAGATAAAGTAATTAACCTACTCAGGTAAATGGCTTTAAAAAATAAACTCTTTGTGTAGGTAACTTCGTGATCAATATGAAAAGTGTCAAAATCTCCAAATATGGACCCATGTAAAAAAGTGTTTTATAATGACACAAACATCATAATAACGCAAATCATCAAAATGTGTGAATCAAAAATCATAATGAAATATTTAATGAACTATTTCTTCTGTGTAAATATAATGATAATCTTTTTCAGTATTTCAGTATTTAACTTGTTCTTTATTGAAAACAATAAATGCTCTTCAACGAACAATGTCTTCTGTGTTAATTAACTCATTAATGAACTATTCCTCCTGCGGGTACTCTTCAGCAACAGGGCTGTTCCCACTTTCATCGTAGGGATGGGGAAGCACCACCTGTGTGCACTGAACCATTAATTAATGTGTCTCACAACTGGGAGTTCTCACAAATGGGAGGACACCATGCTTACATTTATGATCTCCTTGGTAATGTCTTTTTTACCAGCATTAGAATGATGCCTGACAATTAGAGTGAGCCCTGTGGCAAATCTTGCTTTTTTTTAATAAATAAATTATAGGTTTGAATGTTGTGAACATATTATGTATTATTTTGAGATATAATTTGCAGTAATACAGATACTGCCACAGCAGACATATGGCTCCATTGAAGATGCAATGTATTGATGCAACTAAGTGACCGTTCATAATTTATAGCTGGGGGTGTGATGATGATTTTTATGGAGAAGCATGTACAATGTGAATGACACACCACCACCAACCCCACCCCCCCAAAAAAAAATAATAAAAAATTAATGTACAAAATAAGTGACCCCACTGCATGCATGTCATGTACAAAATCAGTGACTCCCCTCCCCTTCCCATAATTTCTGAGCATAATATTAAATTACTTTTTTATGTATAAATTGCTGACCCCCCCAGTACATGTGTACAAAATTGCTCTTCCACCACCCCCACCCCCAGCTCCCCAGAACAAAATGGGTGACCCACCCTTAAAATCATCACCACCACCACCCCCATACTCCCACCCCCTTGCCATAAATTATGAACGCTCCCTAACATGGAACCTGACAGGGATTTACCTTGATACCTGTATTTGAGGGTCCTAGGACTCATACTCTTAATTTTCAGGGGTCCTGGACTACGAAATTGGGGTCCCAGACACTTAAATATTATCATCAATACTATTACTATGTAGTAATATTGTTGTCATTCAGTTACTGTTATTGTATTGTGTATCATGAACTTCACATAAATAAATTGCAAATTATACCATAACTCAGCAAGTAGCAAAGTCAGTGATAACTTTTTGTTGATTGGAATTTTTACAAAAAGTATTTGGACTTTTTCTGCATCCCTGTGGATGCTCTTATAAATTTTGTTGCGTCCATTGTCAATTTTTATGAGTATAGGACGCTGGAAATCATGTCCTGTAGATCCCTTGTACCAGAGTCTCCAAATTGTCAAAATGTCAGTGAAAGTATTTACATGTTAGCCACCAACTTTTTAGATATGGTTTTAGCACCAAAATCATTCCACTGGGTAATTTATAATATAACTGCACCCCATCTGAACACCATTGATAAACAACTGTATGTTACACACTCATCTTTCATGAACCCAGAAACAGGTGTAAAATATCTCTCTCTCAAATGTACTGGGACAGAGATTCTTGAAGCAATTAGATTTATTGAAATATGGGTCACAAGTATACAATCATATTCAATATCACTGCTAAAGGTGAAAATACAAAATACATTCAAATGATCAACCCTAGAGGGAAAGGGACCTTATGAGAAAAAGACAAGTGTATTTATGTTGTTTGCCAATAGTTCCCTGTTATAATGTTGCTCAATGGCCAACTAGTATTAGATCTATATTTATGCCTTTGCACTTTGCATCTGAATTGATTGTCATTATTTTGGCAAAGAATGTTGGTAGATGTAATTAATCTTGCAGATGTGTCAGAAATTGTGCTTCGTATAAACAAATCTGTGAAGAACTGGCCTTCAGCAACCCATGCTTGTCATAAGTGGATACTAGCGAGATCGGGTTGTCAGATTTGCTGACTTGGTTGACACATGACATCGTATCCCAATTACAGAGATGAATGCTCACGATGTCAATCACTGGATTGTCTGGTGCAGACTCAATTATTTACAGACTGATGTCCTATAGCTGGAATAATGCTGAGTGCAGTGTAAACAATAAACAAACAAAACAAATCATATAAACAACAACAAAATATCCTGCCAGTCATCACAAAACACATTAGTGAGTGAGTGAGTTTAGTTTTACGCCACATTCAGCAATATTCCAGCTATATGGCCGCGGGTCTGTAAATAATCGTGTCTGGACCAGACAATCCAGCGATCAACAGCATGAGCATCGATCGGCGCAATCGGGAACCGATGACATGTGTCAACCAAGTCAGTGAGCCTGACAACCCGATCCCGTTAGTCGCCTCTTACGACAAGCATGGGTTACTGAAGATCAATTCTAACCCGAACCTTCACGGGTCAAAACACTCAGTACATTAGACATTGATATATATGGGTATGACATGATGCAGTGGATGCGAATGAATGACATAAAGCCTGCACTACACACTGTCATGTTTCTTATTGCATGTATTTTATCATGTACACCGTCGAACAAGCTGATTAATCTCGGAATGCTTGCAGATTGCAATGAAATCTGGCATTCTTTTTGTCTTGTTTGTGTTTTTGTCCTTTGTGTGCTCTGATATTTTTTGTACACATTGTATTTCTTATCATATGGGGCGGTGGGGTGGCCTAGTGGTTAAAGTGTTCGCTCGTCACGCTGAAGATCCAGGTTCAATTCCCCACACGGGTACAATGTGTGAAGCCCATATCTGGTGTTCCCCGCCGTGATATTGGTTCAAGTAAAATTGTATGTTCAAGCCACTGAAAAACTGAGAAAATATCTGTCATTGAATTTCACATCATTCAATGCATTTGATTTCCATATGGTTGGGACCCGTGAAGGTCCGGGTTAGAATGTATTCTCAGTAACCCATGCTTGTCGTAAGAGGCGACTAACGGGATCGGGTGGTCGGGCTCGCTGGCTTGGTTGACACGTCATCGGTTCCCACTTGCACAGATCGATGCTCATGCTGTTGATCACTGGATTGTCTGGTCCAGACTCAGTTATTTACAGACCGCCACCATATAGCTGGAATATTGGTCAGTGCGGCATATGACTAAACTCACTCACTCACTCCATATGGTTGTTGTCTGTAAATGTAAAAACAATCTCAGGCCTTGGACGGTTACAATCACAGGGTCACAGAATCTGATAAATATAAAATCCCCAAGATATATAAAACACCTCTGGCATTACATTTAAAACCCCTTGAAATATTTCCGTTTATGTAATTTGAATGAATTGGAGAACTAAAACTTTAAGATAATACATGGAGGGCAAGTAGCAGTTGTTTCTCTGGATGTAGAAATGAGAACATGAGGGAATAAAAAGTGAAGCCTTTAATTGTCTGAGAGCATCACCAAAGTTAGACTGACATCTAGTCTCTGAAATGAACATATTTTACAGAAAAAAAATGGTTATTAAATAATAAGCATAAAATATAATGAAAAGAAGCCCTGAGACTTTCTTCATTTTCAGACTGAAACTGTGGAAATCTAGACTTGCATGGGCTTTCTTGGATATATTTGTTTCAGGGTCTGTATGACAGACTACGCCAAAGTCTGAAGTCCAATTATTAGTGCATCAATAAAGGCTGCGAACAACTTGCATTAACTTCACTTTTCTTATTCGAAGCAAGCCCCAGTTCCTGTGTAAATCTCGAGGTACATGCCATCAAACAAGACACTGTTGTATTAGGTATAAGAGTATCAGGATGCAGTTGTACAACACATGGCTTGAATACTTACACCAACTGGACAAAGTCTAAAGCTTGTAGGTCACGTTCATACCTAATGTCATATTAGAGCCTTGTGTCATGGTTTTCCTCCCTTTTTCCTGTTTCATCACACCTGACCTAATACTAATTGTGAATTAAACCTTGCAACTCCTATGATGATATATTTGCCACTTTGATGATAGTAGTTTTGTTTCTACTAGACACTTGCAAAACATGCAACCAAATGTATCTGCCCGAGGTCTGTGTGACACATAATGATGTTTATATATTTGTATTTTTTTTGCATTGTATATGTTTCCAGTTTCTACTATATAATAACCCTTTGCCATGAAATGGCTACAAATGGGCAAAGGTATCAGTTAATCAAAGAATGAAAGGAAAACAAAATGCTTTGAAAAACATCCAGTCTTGATGTTTAAAATTGCAGGACATATTGTAATAAGATCAGAATGTTGCTGTGGTATGTTTGCCACAGATTGAAATGTAGATTACAGGGAAGAGTTGTTTACTTTCCTGATTGTATACCAAGACGTTGATGACTCTGCAGCACAGACTTAAGCAGGGTTCCCACAAGACCTGGAAATCTCACACCCCATTTTCCAGTCTTGGACAAAATCATTGAATTTGAAAAACTGGATGTAATCATGGAAAAATCATCGAATAATCTTGGGGGTTTTATCTAACAAA